GGGGTGCCACGGGGTCTGAGTGGTTGCCTATCCCTCAGGCGTCAGCAGCTGACAGCGGCGACCTGACTGGGGAGGCGGAGGAGCAGTGTATCTCCACAGTGCGGGAGCAGGATGTCGATGCGGTCATCTCTGTTTTCCTTGAGGAGGAAAATTTTTTGAGAGAGAGAAGGGAGAAACTAGATGTAAGGTTTTCTGATTTCTGTAATACCTTTAGAGAAACTATAAAGCTTGCCCTAGATTCCGCTTTAAGAGAGGAGGTTTCAAGTAAATTAGCTAGATGTAGAGAAAGTTATTATGATGAAGTTTATAACATAGCATTAGCAGAAGAGTCTACGTTACGTCGATTGCGAAACTTTTACGCCAGGTGGCTGCTCCGGGTGTCGCCCGCGCAGAGAGCCCTAATGGAGAGCGCTATGGAGCGCCTGGATGACCCGTGCAAAGGGGTTGATCCGTTTAGGAGTCTGTAGCACTAGGCTTACAGCAATTTAGAGGGGGGAGGGGGCGATGAATGTGTCATCGCACCTCATGCTTCGGGGGTTACCTTTTGAAGTATTCATAAGAAAGTGTTTTGATCTGTTATTAATAGTTTTTATCTGTTGCAGGTAGTCTTTGGAATTTGTGGCAGCTAATTTTGAAATTACAGTAACGAGTGTTTTCTATTTCAGCTTAGTTTTCTGGTGAAAGTTGTTAAAGTATTGATTGCGTGGGGACAGGGCAAGTTAATTAGATCAGTTTTAAGGAAGTAACTGTGTAGCTCGAGTAATTTAGGATCATTATTAATTTGTGAAAATAATTTTGATTCGGTTTCACTAGTATCTCTTTGAGTACGTTGTGTCTCAGTAGTTTCTTTGAGAAGCCTGTCCCCCGCATAGTCAAGTAGTGTTTCAGATAGACTTAAAGTTAGAATTCAGTTTAAATTTTAATAAGGTTGGCCAACCACTAGTTTAGGGAAAGGTTTTCTTTTAAAGGGAGTTTGCCGTTTTAAAATGGAAATTTTGGGTAGTTTTAAAATCTGAACATTTGTGATAACTTTGTTAGTAAATTATGTTTGGGGATTTCACGTAGAAAAGTTTGGGTAAGATTTGTACTAGTTTAAGTAAAAAGTAGTGATTTAGTTTTGACATTGCTCTCATTTTGAATTGTTATCGTTAAATGTCGTTCTGAGTAATGAGTCAATTTAAGGTGAATTGCTTTAACCGTCGGTTGGAGAGCTATTTGAGTTCTAATTTAAGTGTTTTGAGAGATAAGATCAATTGTTTTAATTTTGCATTTGAGATTATTCGAGGGTTTAAATTAAATGTTTTGATTGAAAAAGTTAACATCTGTTTTAATACTGAGTAACTAGTTTATGGCATTTGGTATTGGATTGCATTAGTGAGGAAATGTGATGAAAGGATTTAGTCGAAACTTTGGTGCGGAGTTGAGTTGGCATACAAGCAGCAAGGAAACATTGGTATCAAAGGAAACAAAAGTGTTTAGTTGTGTCTGGTTTGTATTTGTATCATGTTAAAATTAATTTGGTAACAGTTTAAGCTATTAGAAAGATTTTGGAATTTTGAAGTATTATTGCTGTTTGTGTTTAAAGTCACTAATTTGTTTTGATTGTTCGACAGTTTGCGGAGGAACGGCGGTCTGGTTGTTCTGTCCGCCCGGCGACGTGCACACACAAGGCCTGATTTTCAACGAGTGCTCGAGCAGAGGTCCACAGCGAGTGCGCGCCCCCATGAGTCAGCCCGAGCCGAGCCGAGGCCAGCAGCAGAGCGAGCGGTCAACCCTTTGCCCACCGCTCCGGCCCCACAGCGAGGGAGCTCGTCGACACTCACCCGAGCGCGGCGAGTCCGCGGGGCCCAGCGAGGCAGCCAGGGCGCGGCAGTCCAGTCCGGGCGGCCCGCCGCAAGGACAAGAAGAGGAGACGGGTCTCAGGCAGCGAGACTAGGACGGCAACATGACGGCACGTACGGCTCAGGGCTCAGGGCGCGGGGTAGCGCCACGGAGGCTTGGACACGGACCGGAGCGAGCAGGGCGTCGCAAGCAAGAGCGACGCCGGTCAGCAGTGAGGCTTGTGTGACGTCACGGGCGCGGCAGGGTGGTCGGGCCGACGGGCCCGAGCAAACTGGTAAGAAGTCTGTTTTTCAGACTAAGTTTGAAGTACCGATGATTTTATTTCAATTTATTTCTTTTAGAGTGTAGAACTAAAGTTTTAGGGTTTGATTAACAACAGTTTTGTTGCATTTTGTCAGTTTTCTGTAGTTTTCATTTCTTTTCCTCGTAACTTTTTTGAGTCATTTTTGAAGTTCAATTTTGAGTGTTTCATTTTAAAATTCTGAATTGCGGTAATTTTCATTCTAGTTGACTTGTTCAAACTTTGCAGTATAGGCTTTAGTTATGGTTCTCTTAGTTGAGCGTTGTAAAGAGAGTTAGTTTTATTTTGGTGTAGCTAGCCATGTGAAACGTTATGCAGTTATAGTGAGAAAAGTTCAATGATTTAGGTATTGTTTCCGCTGTTTTAGCAAAAGTTTTCCGTTGTCAAGTCAGAGGTTTCCTTGTATGCTATGCCAGCTTGTTTCGTAGTATCTGTAAAGTTTTGGTTTGAAGTTTTGGTTTGAGTTTTTGTGGAAAATAAATCAATGAGAGGGATTTGTTTTGTTGTATGCCATGTGATTTAGATTTTAAAGTGAAAGTAGAAGTGTGTTTTGGTGATCTTGAAATACATTTTAACGTGTGTGTTTTGAAATGTTGTGTGACATTAAAATGTATTAATTTGTATTCGTTTTCAGCAGTCACAAATGAGTCCAGGTCCAGTTAGCAAATGTTAGATTTTGAGTTAGGGTAGATATTTTGATTTTTTTTGTATTTTCATTTCTCTTTAAATGTTTCATCTTTTCAATTTGTAGTTTTGATTCAGTTTCGTAAATTCAGTAAATTTATTTCTAATACCAAAGGTTATCAGCTTCTGCGCGTAAAGTTTTGAGGGCAAAACTATTAGAGGGGGGAGGAATGTTGTCAAGCCAACAACTAATGTTAAAGTTTTAACTTGTTAATTTTGAATCTCCCGCCTAACTGCGGCGCCAACGCGAAGCTGGTAACCTTTCGTATTTTTGCGCTAAGCGCGCGCGTCGGCCGGGAAGCCGAAGGGTCACTTCGGTCACCTGCCGAGGGTGACGAGCGGGAAGCCGCCGGGCGGCCCGCCGCGCGGGGCCTCCGGGGCCGGGACCGGAGCGGACGGCCGAGGCAGTTAGGAAGACATCATCGAGCAGTAAAGATAGCAACAAGAAGACACCCCTAGGATCTGGCCTGGACTCACGTGGCTGCTGCTGTATGTAATGTAAGTATCTGATTTTAATTATATATTTATATTTGAAACCTGTGTTATCCCCTTGTACGATCCTGATATCCTGATATTCCACGCACATAAGCAAGTTTTAATCAGTCGATTCTAAAGTCAAATTATTCTAAAGTAGTAGTGAGGCAACTAGTCCGCGAGACATTGCTCCCGTCTCGCATTTCGAAGTATTCTAACACATTCAAAGTTATTTTCGGTCACGACATTCAACACTATACATTTTGCTTTCACTACACTGCCGAGCGCGGCGCGTGAGACGGGTGTCTTACTCTGCTAATTACTCCCTTAAAACTTTACGTACGGGGACAACCGAGTACAGCGTTCGATAGGCAATGAAATAAGGAATCTTATGATACCAACATATAGGCAGAATGAAAAAGAACTTCTTTTTGAAATTTAAATAACGTAAACCGAAGCCCCGTCGGGTCAGCCCTAGTCATCGTTATCGGCCCATTTCAACAATAAAAACGAACCGGACACCTACACCTGTCGTGGGAGAAATGTCCAATACGTTTTGTTCTGTGATGTAAGCCAAACCGCGATTCAATATCACAACCCAAACGAAACAAAATGAATTTCATAGTCGATTGCCGGAAATGGCACCGGCAGAGTCTTTCAGTTTTTAATTAAAATATAATGATTCTCGATACTAATAAAATCAGATGTGATGACCTACTCTACGTAATATTTCCTGGAGAACTCGAATCCATTGTCCGTTTTGAAAAATGTTTTCTGATTGCTCGGATCTAAACAGAAAAAGTATACGCTGCAGAACACACCTAGCGGTGGCCATTTTTGCACGTCCGTCTCACGAAGAGGTAATAGCTTATACCCTCACATTCTGTGGCCTACAGAAGAAACTTCAAACACTTCTCTGTCCTGCCTGATAAGTCGGTACACTCGAAAATTAATTTTGAACGGGAAATTGCTGAACGTTAAATTTCTCATACTGGTTTCTTCTAGACGTAAGCACCACAGCTTCCAGTTAATATTTAATTTCGCCGTTTCAGCGTATCGGGAGTCCAGAAATAAAGAGTAGTACTAGAGCAACTAATTTAAGCCGATAAGGTCGGCTCGAGCCCGCTCATGGCCCAGATACAGACTGAAAAGGATGAAAATTGCAACTCTTTTGTGACCGGCAGACAGTCACAGACGGATTTAATCTGAGCCACAGCGCCTACAGCTCGAGTGGACATTTATTCTTTCTCGGTACAGAAAGATGGTCACGTAGATACCACTGCTATCAAAATCGGTGAAAAACTTCATTTGTTTGTACTGCGCGAAATGCACTTCAGTCCCGCTTAAAACTTCAAGGGCATTGCGGAGGTATTTAGAATGGTTTCTCAGCAAAAGGAAAAAATGGGGGTTCCTACATCTTTTTACGTGTCCTGAACCCTGAACCAAGCATTGTAGGTAATGCGACGAAGTCGTCTCTACACTCATAAATAGGTAATTATGGTGTTAGGTGTTTACACTGACAGAAACCCGCTCAGATCGATAAAGCCACAGAAGTTGCTGGCGTAAGACAAGTTCCTCAATTCGGTAAAAAGTAGTAAGCTTATCTTTCAAATATCTCCAAATGCTAATGCATGTGAAGGGGTTCAAGTCGAGTGGTCCGCTTATTCAATTAAAACCTAGTAGCAAAAAAAGAATGAAGTCAACTTAACTCATTTTGTATTCGGTCATACCTCAAGAACTAGGCGAACATCGTTTTTCGGAAAATGTGCCATTTGTACTGAAGATTAACAACCACTAAAAATGTAGGGTTAGGTGTCGTAAATCCCCTCTTCCGCTTCCTGAATCACTCTTCTAAAGCTTTTAGTACGTACCATAGGCTCCATGCCGTTCTTCTTGACTTCGTCTATGTAGGCGTTGTAAAATTTAACACCCTCTGGATTTGGTTTTGAGAAGTTCCCCTCGGGAAAGATTCGGCACCAGGAGATAGAGAACCGGTGAGATGTAAACTGAAAATTAGAATAGGGTATCAGAGCATTGCAAAAAGGCTTTCTCTGACCGACCGTCTCTCGCCGCTTTGGTCAGAGTCTAGCCGCGTTCAGGCGAAAGGTCGGGAGAGGTAGCCCCCATCCTAATTTACTGGGAAGATATTACTTATGTCCCATTGCCTTTACACCGTTCATTGCTAAAATAGCGCTTCATTGTCACAAACGTATTGACTATCGCCAATAAATAGCAATGATCAATACCTTCTAAAAAAGCAGTGTAAAGGTAATTTAATGGTTAGGTATTCAACTTAATTTGCCGGCATTGTCAACAACAGCGAAGGTGTCTAAACCGCCCTCACACGCAAAACTACAAAATAAAATAAAAATAAAGAGCTTTCATGAGGTCCTTAGTGCATAGTAGCCTAGTACACGGTCGGGTTACCGCTACCCTGCAGACAATACTGATTCTGAAAGGTTTTCATGCAATAAAAAATTCGGGCTTCGTCGGCATTATTTTGTTTAAATGGCGAGTGACGTCGAGCGCACGTTCAGGCCCCTGGACGACACGACGCGTGTGTCGGGAGTTCGGATCCTTCGTATCTGATACAAAGTAGGACCCATGGGGTAACACTTTCAGCACGAGTCGTTCGCCCTGGCCCCACCGTGCGCGCAGGGCAGCGCCTACTACAAGATGGCGCACCTGTTTGGCGCCAAGGTTGGGCCAAAATAAAAATCTCAATGTAATCCGGGTAAACGTCGTTGCACAGGCCCTAGAATGTGCACACGGTCTCTCATAGGTGAAATCTACCATTTAGGCTCCGTACCTTCGAAACCCACGGTTTTGACTAATGAAATGGGATGGGCAGCCCGGATCTAGGACAACTCGCCCCAGTCTAACTTGCCCCGGTATAAAGTCGCCCCATGACCATTTCGCCCCATACCCATGTCGCCCCAACGCTAAGTCGCCCCAGTTGAAATCAGTTTTTCACAAGGAATGTGAACTTCTATACAATAAAAGAATCCGGACAAGTTGTGGCCAATGGCTCTTAAGTATGTGACTACCTACGTCGTCGTCCTCTGTGTTCTCCACGTAGCTCACCCAGAAAAAGGTTCGGTTGATTCAATGGAAAGAAAATATTATAAAATTTTTCCCTTAACTCGACGGAATTTTATTGGTTCAAGGGAAAATATCCCATAAGGTAATGAAAAATCGCTAAAATTTTGAAAAATTGTATCATATTTTCTATTTGTGAAATTTTTATTGATCTAAGGAATTCTCCGTTAATTCAGTGGGCCCATTGTCTGGGTGAGGTCCACAATTCTGTGGATTCGAACTTCTATTTGGGCCAGAGAAGACTTCGGCTTTGCAGGAGAGGGACGCTGAGGGACAATGCTTAGCAATATTCAAATGGAATAAATTTTGGACAAAAATATTTGACTGGGGCGAGATGGCACAAGTCCGCGACTCGCCCCAGCCCCAAAATCGGGGCGAGTTAGCCTTGGGGCGACTTGTACCATGGGGCGACTTGGATGGGGCGAGTTGTCCGTCTCCCGGCAGCCCAGGGTAAGGGGCCTAGTAGTCGACAGTCCACCAGTAGTCGACAACTTAAACTTTGCGTCCAGTTTCTGACGAATCAGCAGACGCCACGGTTTCCCTAAATCGTGTGGTTTAGTATGCTTTTCTACCGAGACCACAACGCACTTGTTGCTAGGTTGTGCGACTGCTTTGTGCCAGCACAAAAGGTTCAGCAAGTAGTAAGATCCCGTAAGGCACTGAAGTATAAGTACTAGCCATATGTACGCCAGACCACGTCTCGGGTAACAGGCTTCGCGATATCTCACGAAACACTGTTACGCTGCGACGCGCCTGGTGCACATATAGCTAGGCCTGCGGCGCTGACACTCAAGACAAGTTATCAGAAGTGTATATACAATTTGTCGATGTTCAGTATTTTGTTTACGATTTAATGGACTATTTGGTCACTTTCACATCATTTTTGTCAAGAAATGCCCCCCTAGCACCCAAACGGTAGAAGATAGAACACAAAGGGCGAAATTTTCGCCCACAGGGCTCTACTTTGACAAATTACCCTTCATAAACACATAAAAAAATTGAAAAAAACAATAATTTTGCAACATGCAGTTTTCGATTTTTTTGAAAGTCAAATTTTTGAGCTAGAATGCTCATTTTTGGAATCGATCTGTCTTTTTATGATACAAAACGACCCTGAAATTCCCAGATCGCTATCTCAATTCCTTCTCGAATTATCGTGCGGTTAGACAAGACAAACGAACAGACAGAATGGAGCTATTTTTTCGGTCAGTGGAGTAATAGGCTTCGCTATCGCTCTGCCAAAAATTGAAGGGTGTTGTGTCGACTAGTGGGAGTGGGCGAGGCACTGTCGACTACTGGGTTAAAGGTGTCGAGTACGGGGCCAATGAGGTATTTTACGAATAAGAACAGGAGGAATCCCAGCCGACGTCTGCTCCCGGACCATCACAAAGCCATGACCAAGCGCACGGTTTCTCGCGTATCTTCGCTAATACTGAAAAGAAATATATCTGTTCTATATCATTTTAAAGCTGAGAATCTCAAGAATCTGGTTTCCGAGAAATCGCGACGTTACGCGCCAGTGATCTGCGGCTTGTTACGGCCCAAAAGCCGGGATTCCTTCTGTTCTTCTTAATCGTAAAATACCTCATTCATATTGTTTTGTGTGCCTTCGTTTAAAGTTCAAAACCTGATTATCATCAAGTTCTGAAGAATGACGCGTTGAGTTTAATCCCTCTTCAATACGCTCAAATTTTTCTTCAGACGCTACCTTCTTTACTTTGTGGCAGGCGTTTTAGAAAACCCTTGTTCTGAATCCATGGACTACTGGGCCTCTCACCCCGTACTCATATTATCTCTTTACGGAAATCGGAGGCTTACTTTCATTTGCTTGGCGAGTCCCAAGTCTTCTTTATAACGATGGTAATGGTCAGCCGCAACGTCAATCGTTGCTGGGAATGGACTGGGCTTTAGGTGAGCCAGGTGGTCCAACACGCTTTCACTCTTGCCTAAAATAAAGATTGCACATAATCAGAGAGGATCATCAAAGAGAGTTCAATCGCACTATAGGCCTGGCTCAACTTAAAGGGCTCGGCGATCGTTCATTCGAATGCTTTCTCAGGCTACCGCACAAGCTTAACCTAATATGGTGAGGGGGGCATAATCGTGGGGTACACCACTCTGATTCTGGGCGTACACTTACTTCCAGCCATTCAAAACTAGTTTAACTTTTCATCGACTTTCCATTAACTTTTCCATTATGTGTTGACTGTACAGGGAGTCTAGTTGACTTTTGCCTCTTTTTTTTCACTCTATTTTTTTGTTTACTTTCTTCGACTTTCTGTTTACTTTTTGACCTTTCATTCACTGAAATTTTGCACCCTCATTGTGTGCCCTTTATTGTCTGGATGTCCCTAGCTGACACCATAGCGAGGTTTTCTACCTGCCGGCAGCAGCGACAGGTTGGTCTGCCTACGCCCCCCCCCCCCCGAAATAAATAAAGAAAAACAACAGCAACGACTTTGCTGAGAGTTCTGTCTTTGCTGTTTTGCATGGAGAAGGACAGCGATCAGCTGACTGTCATCATCGCGTTCTGTTCTACGCCCTGGAGCCCTAGAGCCTCGAGGCAGCAGCAACACGGCGGGCATGCAGCTGTACCAGCGCAGCGCACCTCCTCCCTAACAGTCAAGGGAACATCAGAATGGATGTTCAATAATAACAAATCTTTTTTATTGTTATTAAATTGTACTAGGCATTATCAAAATACTGCAGAGATGTATAATTTTGTGACTTTCAACACTTAAAAAATTCGTTTTAAATATCACATAAAATTAACTCACCGTACAAGTAGTGTAGGCAAACTATTATAGCTTTGAATAGTATTCAGACATGCCTCTGGTACACATTAAAATTGAACACATTATTCAATTAGAACAGTCTTATTGGTCTTTGGTACACATGACAAAGTTAAAATGGTTAAAACTACAACAGTCCAGACATGGTAAAAATATTAATAACTTTGGCAAACAATCAAAAACAATACATGTTCTAAGTTCACACAGGAATTTCAGAACTCAATATTGTTCACTAAATCAAAGGGTTCTATAGATTATAAGGTTATTGAGGAACTTCTGCTCGATGTTGGTGCAGAAATGGTGGCCAAAAAATTGTCAATATTTCCAAAGTTTAAAAGAAGTGGCAGCAATGGCTTAAGGCTGCGGTTGAGCTTTATGGCAAACCAAGTGGCGAGGCAACCCACACCCCTTTACAGCCATCTGGAGCCTGGACAGAGGCTGTGTCATGAGAATAACTTTTCTTTTGGTGACTTAGATATGAAAAGTCTATGACCTGCCCAACTATGACACCTCTGTTGTTTGTAGCCCGCCCTTCTGCTTTGAAAAAGCTATCCAGCGGGCTGATGCAAACGCCTCGTGTCTGTGTGTCTGTCTGTCTGTTTCACTAGAAGGAGATGTGCTAGAGACTTGAAATTTTCAGAGTATCTTAAGGTTCACTCATAGAGAACGAAACGCCTACGGCAAATCCTGGCAACCACCCTAAGTGTGTGAGTGGCGGTATCCAAGGTTCAAATACCCGCCCAAAAAGTTAGTTTGTTTATGTTCTTTTCAGGGGTAACTCGTCAAGGTAGAGACCCCTGGGCGAAAATTTCGTCCGTTTGGCTCTATCTCTAACCGCTTAGGCACTGGATTTTTATTTTTATTTTTTTGACGAAAATAAGATAAAAAATTGCTGTAGTAAACAATAAGTTGTAGAAAAAGGCCTGAAATCCGCAAAATAGGAGACAAACTTCCTTTCCCTACCCCTCCAAAACAACATTTTTAAGGAGAAGGGTGGGTTGTAGTCGCGTTGCTTCACCGTTACATCCCTTTCTCGTGTCTGCGGGGCAAATTTTAAAGACGGCGGGTGTGCGGGCCAAAGTCCTGTTACATCATTTGATTATGTTCTTCAGCAAAGCGCGTGACAGAAATGGTCGGCCCTGCGGCCCGACCATCGCCGCCGGCAGGCCAAGCAGGCCCGGCCCCTGCCGAACGGAGTTGCCGGCGGAGCGAAGAGGAGCTGGGAGTTGCCGGCGGAGCGAAGTGGAGCTGGCAACTCCGTTTGGCGGAAGGGCGGGCCTGCTTGTTAAACACACACCAGTCTCCTATAAGTACATCTTTCATTTTGGCAGGGGTTGGGATATGTCGTACTCTCTTCCTCCGTCTTATGTTATTCAGAGGAATGATGCGAGTGGACAGCCGCGAACTCACGGACGCGACCACCGCACAGAGTGGCGCGCAGGATATGGGCCGACCTAGGCCTGACTGCGTGCCCCGAGTTATGGGGAGGTCTAGTTTTCCTCTCTAAAGCTAAAAAAAAACTATACTGTAAGCCCACTCATCTGCTTAGAATTTTTTTTTGGACCGACGGCATACTTCTAATGAAGTTGTCTAACCCTCTGGGCATACTCTGCGTGCAGTTCGTCTTGTAACTTAACGCTGTTCCATTTTTACTTACCATCCGTGTCCCATGCACCCTCAGACTGGGATGATGAGAGACCTGCGCCTATCATGAGCTTGGCAGGAAGTTTGTAGAGGTCTTCCGCGGCATTCTGCGGAGCCAGCACAGCGGCCCCAGCACCTCCGAGACAAAACAACACGAATGCCGGGATCGCCCTCATGGTTGATCAAGCAGTATCATTTTGAAGCCGCATCAATGCGGTTTTGTAGAGAAGAGCACGTGCCATTCAGATACACCTACTGCGCCTGATGAGTAACGCACCCGTAGATAATCAGAAGCAGCTGAGGCCTACTTTGACAACTTAAGTGTTCAACACACTGCAAATATTCATGCTGCATATTAGAATTCTTTAAATGAAATTGTAGCAAAACTGCATCTTCTCAGTCTACCAAATTTGACTCAGCCATTAGTCAAACATTTGGTGTTGTACTCAGTTGAGGTAAGGTCGTCTTGTAGTATTTTGAACAAAGGTCCAAAATGTGACCAGCTGCACCCAACCCTGTTTTAAGGGTTCAAGTTTTTCTTACAAAAGATGAATTTTAAAAAAACACTTCACGATATGCGAAGACAATGCGCAAGGTCAACTTTTGCCCATTGGCAATGCTTCTAGGCCTTCGAAACGTCCAAAGAAAGCATTCCGTGTACGAAATACACTTTTTAGCCCTCCTTTCTGCTTTGAAAAAGCTATCCAGCGGGCTTATGCAAACGACCTCGCGTGTGTCTGTCTGTGTGTCTGTCTGTCTGTTCCACTAGAAGGAGATGTGCTAGAGACTTGAAATATTCAGGGTATCTTAAGGTCGACTGCTAGAGAACGGAACGCCTACGGCAAATCCTGGCAACCACCCCTACACTGTGAAAAATAGTAGGTAGGTTTACAGGAAAATTTTTCTTGACGCGAGTTGTAAAATTACAATTTGGAATCGTAAAAATACATGCAGTACGCATCGACTCCAAATCTATTGGCGAGTAGGAAATTTGCTCTCGTAAATTTACAATCTCAATTATAATTCGAGTTTAATTTTTTTTTTTGTAAATTTACGACGATATTTTTTACAGTATAAGGGTGTGATAGGGGTATCCAAGGTTCAAAACTTCTCCCTAAAATTATTTTCTTTTAAGTTCTCCTAAGGGGTAACTCGTCAAAGTAGAGCCCTCAGGGCGAAAATGTCGTCCGGTTCGCTCTATCTCTAATCGTTTAGGCGCTGGATGGTCTTTTTGACGAAAATAAGCTAAAACTTGCGGTCGTGAACTATAAGTTGTGAAAAAAAACCTAAAAACCGCTAAGTAGAGAGGAAACTCTCCCCCCACCCCCAAAAAACGTTTTCTAAGCAGAAGGGTGGGTTGTAGTCGCAGTGCTTCACCGTTACATCCCTTTCTCGAGTCTTTGGGGCAAACTCAAAGACGAAGCGTTTAAGCGGGGCGAAGGCCCGCTACATCATTCGATCATATTCTTCAGCAAATCGCGTGGCAAAAATGGTCGGGCCGCAGGCTCGACCATCGCCGCCGGCAGGCCAAGCAGGCCTGGCCCCTGCCGAACGGAGTTGCCGGCGGAGCGAAGCGGAGCTGGCAACTCCGTTTGGCGGAAGGGCGGGCCTGCTTGTT